CAGCCACCCACACCCACCACACCCACATCCACATCCACACCCCACACCCACACCCTTCATTAGGATCTACACGATGTGCTATGTTTCAGCTGATTTCAAGATCTCGACTATATCGGCCCCTGTGGTCCCCCACGGCATTTTATTGAATTTTTTAGTATTTTTAATTTTTGACACTGTTGTACAACTTTTCTCTTACTTTTGAGATTCTCAATCGATAGAGATTGAAAAGTTGCACTAATGAGCGAAATTTGACGTTGCGGCAAGGCTCACTTCATGTCGAATGGAGACTAATACAGTAAAAATAGGCCTATTTTAGCCATAATTCGGACTTTTGACCTTGTTACACCATTTTTTCTTCTGTTTAGAGATCACCAGCAGATAGAGCGTGCAAAGTTACCCATAAGTTCAAATTTTGAGGTTGCGGCAAGGTTTGCTTCATGAGAAACCTGAAGGAGGAAAATCGGTATATAGATAAAAGGACCGGATTCAGCCCCAGAATCCCCATCTATTATTCGAAGGTAACGTTTTTGCGTCCTAAAAAGTGCAGATTCGTAAAGAGCTCGAAATTTCAGGCATGAAACAGTATTTTCCGTGGAATTTTAAATAATTACTATTCCATAGGGCTTCAAATAGTCGAAAATAAGGTATCTTGAGTGGTCAGGACCATTTAAGGAAGAAAACATTTTCTAGTGGTTTTATTTTGATTTTCGTAATCAGCACCCTTGAATCTATAGTTCCAGTTGGTTTTGAATCAAGAAAAACAAAATTTTGTTTTTCACGATACTTGGGGGGACCCCAGGGACCAAACCCATGAATGTCATTTTTTAGGGAATAAAGTTGAAAAATATGATCAGGATCGAATGCTTATTAAAGCCTGATACAAATAAATGAATTCTGAAGGGGGCCGAAAAAAGGCCTTATCCGCCCATGTCCTTTCATCACAATTCAATGATAGACAAATGGATATTGATCTTCCTCGATCAACAACTGCAGAAGTTTGTATTCCTACTACAGTTCAATTTGAAGAAGTTTATGAAATGTTGAATATATTGGCAAGTGGCATCGAAACATTGGTCAATGATGAACAACGTCTATGTAATGAATCACTCCAAATGCAAATTACACTTATAACATTGAAAGAAGAATTATCGAAACTCAAATTATCTGTTGAAGAATCAAATGCATTTTTGCAGGGAGTGAAACAGAATCAAGACATTCTTAATCAAGACTTTGTATCCTTGCAAGAAAAAATCAATGATTTGCAATATGTTTCATATAGTAAAACATTGGTTTGGAAAATATAAAACTTTCATGAGAAAATAAGTAACTTGAACAATTAGTCTTATGCTTGAAGATAGAAATCAAAATATGCTGTCGACAACATAATCAAAGAAAAAGATGTTCTTCGTTTTCTATAACATTATTGAATAACACATAAACGATTCAGCGTTACATTCAACATAGTATATTGTCACGCATAAATACAATGAATGAGTGAGCTATTGATGAATTGATGGAAGCAATTATCAATTCTATCGATCGGCTAAATTTCTTTATACTTGCAGCTACTCTTCTTCACCCAATTTTTTGTGGAACTCACATATTTTACTAAGGAAAATAGTGAGTGTAAGTTGTATGGTAAGGTTTTTCGCTCGAACATTCGAATCCTAAAGTAGTAACCCGAATCAATGGGTGACAATGAGAGTATTGGTCGATGATTTTTAACGCTTCTGACGGTCATAGCAATGCTGGCAAAGGTGCTCGCAATAGACTTTAGCAACCGAAGTTTTGATTAGTGAATACGTTTCCAAAGCAATCCAAGACAGCAGACTTCTTTCCTATAATTTCTTAGTAAGAAAAAAAAAGATATTGATCGGCATTAACAATAAGGCTTAGATTGTTCGAGAATGTTTCAAAATTTTACTTGAAATTGTAATGGTGTCAATACCTTTCTGAGTATTCTAGATCGTGCAATTTTTTTAATGTTTATGCAGATTTCCGATTGTATTCAAGATTTACTTGACCTATTTGACATTAATGTAATGAAGCTGGAAAAAAAACATATGAGTTTCTCATATTTGCTTCAAAGAGACTGCACTGGCAAGGGTTTAAGCTTAATTTCTAGTTGATGCACAATCTGAAAGGCAAACATCAATTTATATTCACCTCCATTCTATTCATCACCTACTGGCTATAAAATGAGAGCTCGTCTTTATTTAAATGGTAATGATTCAACTACAAAGTCTTAGTTTGTTTATACGATCAAACACCTGCACAACGACATATTATCGATTCATTTCGACCAGACATAAGGTCGAATAGTTTTCAACGACCTCGATCGGATATGAATATAGCCCAATGGAATACCTAAATTTTTCCCATTGGATATGATTAGATATGAAGGAAATTCATATGTCCGAGACGACACAATGTTCATCAAAATTATAGTTGATTTTGAAGAAATACAGAAAACGTTATTGCCGTGTGCTTTCAGTCTCAATCCTGGCCTACCAATGCATATTCAACAAACGATGATAAAGCAAGAAGCGGAGCAAAGATCTCAACAACAGTCTTGGAAGCAAGTTGAGATACCCCGAAAGTAATCTACCGTTGAATCTATATCAAGTACTGCATCAATAATCAAGAATCTCCTATTTTGAACTTCTATTACCTTATCAAGTATTGAAGCAATAATCCAGAGTATCCTATTTTGAAGTCATCACATCTTTTTATTATTCAAATTATAAATGATCTGCTACTTTAACCTGCTCTTTTTTTAATAATTATAGAAAGTTTATCAATCTTCCATAAAAAATATATTGAAGTCATTGATTGTTTGATAATAGATAATTCTACTGGAAGGAATTTTATTTTAAAGAGCCATTATTCAGATAGTTTTTAAACAATTGTTTAAACAATAATAAATAGATTTTATTTGATCGATATCCCATGAGGATAGAGACTGGCTTCTAAATGATAAGCTTATACATTGTTGTTGACATTCAACATTTGTATATATTTTTGTGAAAAAATTTTCTTTTTATTCTTTACATATAATGAAGTATTGTATTTGATTCAATAACATTTTAAGTCTGATGAAAACGTAACAGTGTCATATTATTGACTGACATCTCATATTGAATATTGAATTAATAGCACTTACGAGGAAAGTTCCCAACTGTTCAATCGCTTTTGAGTCGAAACCATGTGCATCATGTAGGTCCTAATGAGCTATGAATACCCTGAAAAGAGTTCGGGCTGCTAGCTTATTATTATTGAGATACTACATGTTTATGGTATTTTTAATTAAGCACAATGCCGTGGTCCCCCTCAGCAACCAGAAAAACTGAATTTTGAGTTTTGGCTTCAAACTTTGCACAGAAACAGACGTCAGTAAGAGAAGTTTATTGTGAAATTTTCGAGGTATGTTCAGATTTCCGAAAAAGGAAATTACAGAAATTTCCGAAGCTTCTATCAACTCGATAACTACATAGCAAACCAAATGAAAATATTTTGGAAATATTGGAAAGTTTAGAAATTTTAGAATTTTCTGTAATTTCGGAAATTTCGCTATGTATAGAATTTTGGAAATTTCAGAAATTTTGGAAATTATATAATTTTGAGAAGTACCAAACAATTTAGAACACAAGTGCTTGAAATTTCCAAAACTTCCGAAATTTCCTTTTTCGGAAGTCTGAACACTGCTGAAATTTTCAGGCCTTTTGGTCATTCCTATCCTAAGATGCAGCTAAAAAGGGTGTTTTTACACTGCTTATATACCTCCGACAGATTCCGATGTTCATATTTCAGAATAGGAACAACCAAAAGATCTGAAACTTTCACAATAAGCTACTCTCATTGAGGTCTGTTTCTGTGCCAAATTTGAAGTCGAAATTCAAAACTCAGTTTTGCTGGTACTTTTGAGGGAAATCACAGCATCCTGCTTAACAAAATCGTAAAAATGCAGTATCTCGACAGTAATAAGCTAGCAGCTCGAACTCTTTTCAAGGTATTAATAGCTCATTAGGACCTACATGATGCATATGGTTTCGACTCAAAAGCGATTGAACAGTTGGGAAGCTTCCCTCGTTAGTTGACTCATCTTGTTGAATCAGAACTTTACTTTCAATGATTCGTCGTAAATATATGAATAAATATAAATGTAAGAAAGACAAACTCTGGATTCTTATCATTCACTTACGTTTACTTTCGATAAATAAAGAACACTTAATCCTTTTTGATCTAAACTTGCAAGGATATGATAAAGAATCAATTATTGAAAATTCTACTCACAAATTTTTCCTTTTCAGTACTTGCCACTTAATGTTGATATTATTGAACGAATGACAATTTATTTAGTGTGACAAACCCGAGGAATAACTCTATTGCTACTGTCGATAATGATATTTATTTGAACTACTTCATCACTTCAGTTGTATCAATATTAATACGAACACATGCTTATATACTAGTCGCACAAGGAAAAAGAAAGAAAAACACAGTTTGTCAAGGTCAACATTATGAATAAATCATCTTGAGAAAAGAAGAGAAGAGAAGTGAAGTGTACCGGTGAATAATCTGCCTTTATAAATAGCACAAAAAAATAATAAAATCAAATTTTTCATGATGTTATATTTTATGAAAACGTTGCGTATACTTCTTACCGGAAGTATTATGGTTAATCATATCTGAGGCTAAGAGTATTGGTAAATTGAAGGCTCATATTCCCACTTTTTGACTCTTTTACTTTTCTTCCTTCCTAGAATAAGCAGATATATACTCAATATGAAAGTTTCAGTATTTCTCTTCCCTGCATGTGAAAATTTCAGAATTTCTTTTTATTCTTGGGTGTGAAGGCGTGAGTGTGAGTGTCTGAAGTTTTTGTTTAAACCCACACCCCACATCTACACCCGCACCCCACATCCACATCCACACCCACCCATACCCACATCTGCCATTTCGATTTTTAAATTTATATTAGACTATCTTAAAAGATTGGTTTTTCTCATAAGATTTAGATAAAAAAATAAACCAATCTTTGTTCGAAATATTTCTTTTTGCGTTGTAAATATTTTTGAAGTTCAAGTTCAAATGAACGAGCTAAATGTTATTCTTTTTCCTCTTGTTTATTGAGAGATAAGATGAGACGTCAAATCATATAAAATATCTATTTAAATTGAAAAATGAATTAAAGTAAAAATTATCAACTTTTGTATTGTCTGGAAAGAAAATTGTCTCATGTTCCTGATAGTGTAAGTTTTATTTATTTCAACATGAAATTAAATGCAACAACATCTTTCTAGAACAATCGTGCTCTTTTAACTATCAGCAATCGAATTATCGAATGGAGATGCAATGAAATGTCTCCTTACTAGTCATTGTCTAATTTTGAACCATTCCAATCACGTCACATTATACAGAAATCAATATCGATTTGTGCACTCCATATGAAATGAATGTCGTTGAATAACTATGAGTTTTTTTTGGTTCTTTGTCGTCACTCGTCGTCTTATCTTTCAGTGAATGTTTTATTGTTGTGTGCAGTCCTTCTCATAGAGTGCTTATTTGATAAGAAGTTTTAAAAAACGAAAAAAAAGGAGGTAAACACAAACAGTAACGGAAGATAAGGGATTGACATGCTGCAAAAGTAAGATACGAATCATTCAAAAAAACCAGGCTAACAGTGTAAGACACAGAAAACATTCTAATCAACAGCAGCACATTATTCAAACTACGAAGAACTTGGTGACTTTAATAATTTAATCCTAGTAAGTAATTTCTTAGGAAGGTTCGATATACAAATGAAATTATATTGACTGTTATTTACTTTGCGCAAAGAAACTGCGAATATTTTACTTCTTCTTTTCTTCCATTCTATTCATTAATTTTCAGTTATTAAAGACATAAGAAGGCAAAAATGAATATAATGCGCTGGCGACTTTAATAAGACTACGTATAAAGAGAACACGAACACAATGGTAAAATTTGAATGTTGGTAAGAGTAACGATGGAAAAACTTCTAATCACAGCAAAATCCGTTACAGTGAGGTCAGGAAGCTTCGCTTCACTTACTGATGTTACAAAGTTAGAGGACCAAAATTAACCACTCACAGAAATGCGAAACATAAATGGCCAATCATTTCGAGCCATAAGACATTGCGCAAATCATTGACAAAAGAACTTTGTTCTCAACGACTATGAGTGAAAATCAGATCGAAAATTTTCCGTCATATGTCGCGTTTCGAAGTCATTATGCAATATTTCGCGCCTTCCATCAATTTGGCAGGGTGGCGGCGAAAACTTC